GGCCGCGAACCGAGCGAGGGGTGTGCCAAAAATGGGTGGCACGGACGCATGGAAACGTCGCCGCTGGGGCCTTAGGTGGAGCTCCCCATGGGGACACGAATCGTGCGAGGGGTGTGCCAAAAATGGGTGGCGCAGACGCATGGGAACGTCGCCGCTGGGGCCTTAGGTGGAGCTCCCTATGGGGCCACGAACCGCGAGAGGGGTGTGCCGACATGGGTGGCACGGACGCATGGGAACGTCGCCGCTGGGGCCTTAGGTGGAGCTCCCTATGGGGCCACGAACCGCGTGAGGGGTGTGCCGAAATGGGTGGCACGGACGCATGGGAACGTCTCCACTGGGGCCTTGGCTGGAGCTCCCAATGGGGCTACGACGTGTGTAAGGGGTGTGCCAAAAATGGGTGGCACGGACGCATGGGAACGTCGCCACTGGGGCCTTGGCTGGAGCTCCCTATGGGACCAGGAACCGTGAGCGGGGTGTGCCGAAACAGGTACAAGCGGAGGGCAGAGGCAAGCGAGGGATGAGGGAGGAGCGGAAGGAGGAGTGAGAACGCCGGGCGCAGTATCTTCAAAACGAGGACCCAACACCACAGAACGGTTGGGAAAAATCAGGACGTTGCATGACTGTCTGGGTTCAGGTCGGAGGGACCAGCCCAGGGAGGCAGGAAGTGATTTAGCCACGCCGACACTGCGCCGACCGTACCCCCGATCTCGAAGCAGCTGGCTCTTGGGCAACGTGAGGGCGCCGCGCATCAGTGAGCCGTGGGCAGACTACTACTCTGGCAGGCCCGTGCTTTGACGACGAGGGCCGTTGAGGATACAGAGCCTCTTCGCCGGAACCCCATGTTCGCTGGTCTCCGCGATCGCCGCTCCCCGTTCGCCAGCGTCCGTGCTCGCCCGTCACCGTTGGCCGGCCCCTGCTCGCCAGGTCCCCGTTCGCCAGCGTCCGTGTTCGCTGGTCCCCGTTCGCTCGGCCCCGTCCTGGCGCCGCTGGGCCCCCGCGCCAGAGCTCCGACGTCTCAGTGGTGGTCCGCGTTCGGGCTCCCAGGCCACTCGGCTCCTTCCCTGAGGCAGGCCTCTCGGCCCGAACCGTGTCTCACTGGCCCCGACGGGCCCCAAAAGGGCCCCCGCGGACGCCGGAAACGAGCGAGAAGGCCGCCGAAGGCCGCGAAAGATGCCCGAAGGCCGCCAAGGGCCGCAAGATGCCTCCAAAGGCCGCCGTCTGCGTTTGCCGTCCGCCCGTCTGGAGACTGAGCCCCTGGACCTGTCGAGGGCGGCGCTCCGGCCAAGACTTCGAGGAGAACCCAGCTGTGGTCATGAGGGCACCCCGGAAGGCCCGCAAGCTTCTCTTTTTTGGGGGGTGGAGGGGAGAAAGATGGGCGCGGACACCGGCCGATTCGCTGCTCCTCAAGGGGGCCATCCGCTTGCTCAGCGCGAGTGCTGTGCCGGGCCTGCCGATGAGGAGGGCACCCTACGAGGCCCGAGAGCGCGCTCAAAGGCTTGGCTCCTCGGCCCCGGCCCCCCCTCCAACAGAAAAGAATTCGCCTGGTGAAGGACCCAACCAGAGGTGCTATTTCGGAGACCCTGAACCCAAAAACGTTTCCATCTCTTCGGGGCGCATTTTTTACTTCCGCCGCCTTCCGCCGAGCTTCCGCCGGTGGAGGCGGTCTCGTTTCACTTACGCCGCCCGTCCGCCGCCTTCCGCCACGAAGAGATGACAGCTCCTGCAATCCTCGAAGGCAAGGTCCTTTTTGGAACGCCCCAAATGGGCCATGGGGCCACGGAGCGTGGGAGGGGGGTGCCGAAAGGGGCGCGGCGGACGCATGCGAGCGCAGCCACGGGGGCCTTCGGTGGAGCTCCCTAAGGGGCCACGAAGCGTTGCACCGCCGAGGGCCGCAGAGGGCCGCTCAAGGCAGCAGCCGAAGGCCGCCGAAGGCAGCAGCCGAAGGCCGCCGCAGGCCGCCGCAGGCCACCGCAGGCCGCCGCCTTGGCTTCCCTTTGCAGCGCACTGCGTCAGAGTCGCATGAGATCCGACGTCGCAAAGAGAAAGGCAGCATCTCGGAAGGTCATGGCCGGAGAGCCCCAGCCCCTGTCTTTGTGCGGCATATCTCGAGCGGGAGCCAGATGTGGGAGGCCTGGGGGCCCAAAGCTCGATGAAAACGCCCGACGCGACAAAAAATGCGACGCCTGGATCTCAATGTTATAAGCCTGGAGACCAGATGTAGTGACCTGTTCAATCTGGGATCTCCTGAAGCCCCGACCTATTTCCCAAGACAAGCTTTTCGTAGCCGCCTCTTGACAGCACCAGGGCCGCCCCCAGAGGACGAAGCGAGCAAAAGGCCGCCGCCTTGACTTTTCCAAGACGCTGGCTCAAAGCTCGGGGGGCGAGGACCAGGGGACGCGTTGAGAGAAGAGGTAGGAGACCACGTGCGCACCCTACCCCTACCCCCACGATTTCTGAGGGGGAGGGTGGGGTTCACTTCGCCTCAGAAATCGTAGGGGGTAACGGCAGGGTTCGCATGTGGTCTCCTAAAAGGGGGCCACCACGTCCGGGAGATCCCATGGCCCCAGCCACAGCCACGATGTCCACACCCACACCCCTCTCGGACGCACAGACAGCAAAAAATACGCAGAAGGCAACTATACACCACCACCGTGCCAAGGCAGGGCCATCCTGGGCCCCAGGATGGTGCATACGCCCTCCTCACCGAGGCCAGGAGGGTCTATACGCCATCCTGGGGCCCAGGATGGCCCTGCCTTGGCACGGTGGCGGTGTATACAGAAAAAGAAAGAACCACATGAACATAAATTGTTTGCACCCCGCGCGGATTTCTTGGATTCGCGCCAGGGGCGGCGCCGGAGGCGCCGCCGGGGGACCTAGGCGCGGATCCAAGAAATCCGCGCGGAGCGTCGAAAGTTTATGTTCACGTGCTTATGTATTATCATTATTCTTCTTCTTCGAGTATAGCTGCCTTGTTTTTTCAACAAAAAACTTCATCTCGGCCGCATCTGAGGCGGGTGGCCCTCTGTCTTGCTTGCGCGCTGCTGGCCGGATCCTGTGCCCAGGAGGGGCCACCAGCCGGAGCAGCAGGCACCCTCTGCAGAGCACAGGGCCTCCCTGACACCCGCCAGGGCCTGACTGCTTCAGTCCGCGGCCCCAGGGAGGTCCTGGCCTGAGGGGCAACGATAGGGGGGGATAGGCATAGGGGGGGATGAATCGACCTGGAATCGGCGATACATCGTCGATGGATCGGCGATAGGCCTCCGATAGTGAATCCGCACCTTCCTGGGCAGGTTGGGACTATCGGGCCCCTATCGGCGATCAATGGGCGATTGGGGGTCGATGCATCCCCCCTATGCCTATCCCCCTCTATCGTTGCCCCTGAAAACCGCTTCCCCGGGGGGGGGGTTCTTCGTCCCGAACGCGGGGCCCGAAAGCAGCCCTCGACGGCCGAAGCCTGCAGAAAACAACCACACAGCAACAGAAAGAACGTTTGAACAATCAGGCCGACGAAGATCTGGGCTCGCCGGCTACAGGATTGCACGGGGCACGTCTTCCAAGACGGAAGGGCGTCTCCGCCGCCGAGGTCCTCCGACGGAGCCCTCGAGAGGCCGCCGGGGGGCCGCAGAAGGCCGCCGGAGTCTTCCGAAAGCCGCCGAGGGCCCCCGAAGGCCGCCGAAGGCCGCCGCCGAGCGTCTCCAGGAGATCCGACGTCACGTCCACGAGATCCATAAGATCCGTGGTAGCCTAGGTCAACCCGTCTGGAGCCACGGGCCTCATCTCCCGGCGGCATGCTTCCAGGTGGATCGACGCGTGACGGTCTGGGGGCCCGGGACGAAGCAGAATCACCCGTTGTGAGAAATGCGCCGCCAGGATCTAAGGGGACTGCATGGGACACACCTCCTCGACGTCGGACCCGCCGTATTTTGGGCGATGTCGCCCGCCCTACTTGTCTCAAGCTCCTTTGATGCCGATTTCCGCCCTACTTTGCCGTCGCTGCTTCCGCTACACGTTTGCGGAAATATCCGCCCAACTTCATATTCTGAAGCGGAAATTTCCGCCCTGCCTTTTCGCATCGTTCGGAGTGAATGTATTATACAACCTCACAGCGGGAAAGCAATCAAAGCACTGAGGAGAAAGTCAGGGAGGAAGGGGAGGGGGAAAGGGTGGAGGAGGAGGAGGAAGGAGGAGACTGAGGAGAAGAAGGAGGAAGAAGAAGAAGAAGAAGAGCACGAGGAAGAGTAGGGGAGACGACCGAAGAGATGGAGGAGTAGAAGGAGGAGGAGGAGGAGGAGGAGGAGGAGGAGAAAGAAGAAAAAAGGGAGGAGGAATGCCGTTTGTGCGCGCGTCTCGGTGGGGCCGGCCTCAGCGCCTCAGCGCGCCGCCGCGCCATCGGAGACGGGCGGCGCGAGTACCACGTGAAGGTGATCAACCGCGGCTACGGCATCATCCACCAGCTGGAGAACAACTACCACCAGCTGTTGAATCACAAGGCGGACATCTTCAACATCAACGAAAAATTACGAGACCTGCCCGCCTCGGTGGAGACTCATCGGCAAGTATGCCGAGACCATACACGCACAGAGGAGGAGGGGCGCGAGCAAATGCTACCAGAACAGATGTGGCTCTCAAGGGAACGGGCTACCTCGTCCGACACAGGCTGGAACCACACCTCAACGACATCATGACCATCGCTACGACCGCCTTCATGATGGCGCCCCTACAGGACGGGACGAGCCGCATTGCATGTGTGACGAGCTGCGTAACATGCAGCCCGAGGACAAACTGCGTAACAGGCAGCCCAAGTACAAGAACCACTACCAGTACGACACCAAGCACGCCGCCAAGATCGACGGCAAGTACGACAGCAAGAGCGGCGGCTTGAACCTAATCGCGGCCATCTTCAAGCCCAGGCAGACCACGGGCGTCCCCCCAGGCGAAAAAGGACAATACTGGGGCGACCTGGTGCTTCCTTTCTGAAAAACCGGAGCCAGCGTGACCATCTACAGCAGCCCCGGGAGCAGATATGTACGACTACCAGTGCTTCGACGACCACCAAGACTACAATTCCACCAGGATTGCCAGGATTACGACTCCCGGTACAACTACGCCGCCGGGGACCACTGGCGCAAGTCCAGGAAGGCGCAGGCCGCGCGCATGGCCACGAGTGCCACCAGCTGAGCCGTCGGGGTCTCGACAGCCCCCGACGCGGCCACGAGGGCCACCCGCTGAACTGCGGGGGCAGCAAGCCGAGCTACGAGGGCCGCGACCAGGACTCCGAGAGCCACCAGCTGAGCTCAGGGGACCACACGCGGAGCCACGAGGGCCGCGCGCAGGGCTACGACACCTACCGGTTGAGCTGACCAGGGCCACCTGCCGAGCTACGAGAGCCACTAGCTCAGCTAGGAGGACCACACGCTGAGCTACGCAGGCCACAGGCAGAGCTGCGGGAGCCGCCAGAGGGGCTGAGGAGGGCCACCAGCCGAGCTTCCAGAGCCGCCGGCAGGGCTGCGAGGGCCACAGGCTGAGCTCCGAGGTCCGCAAGGCGACCTGCGAGGGCCACGGGCTGGGCTGCGAGGACCGCCAGCTGGTCTGCGAGGGCCACCAGCAGGGCTACGAAGGCCACAGGCCGAATGACCGCAGGGCTACGCGAGCAGAGCAGCAAGGGCCTCCAGCCGAGCTGCCATCGCCAAACTGCACGGTCCACGAGCTGACCACCCCGAGAGCCCACGACACAGCTGCGAGTACCACCAGCCGAACCGCGGGGGCGACACGTCGAGCTGGGAGAGCCGCGAGCAGGACTCCGAAAGCCACCGGCCGAGCTACGAGGGCCACGAGAGGACGAGGAGAGCGACGAGCAGGGCGAGCCCACCTGCATCATGTACGCCGCGCTGGAGGGGCTGGACTTCCTCAGGACCATGATCGCCGAGGGGGAGGCTATCACAGAGGCCTTCGCCATCAGAGCCATATCCAAACTCACGAACTCCGCGAAAAACTAGCCCAACGACATGATGGTTCCCGTAGACATGAGCGCTAGCCGCCACCACGAGGACGGGGACGCGATGGTCCGCGCGCTGGGCCTCTCTGGAGCCATCAAGGCGCTCTTGTCTGGCCGCGACAATTACGAGGCGCACAAGAACTGGATACCTATGGGCCAGCGAACCATGCCTGTCTCCGCCGCAGAACTGCGACGACGACGGGAGGACAATGAGAGCGACGTGGAGCACGAAGAAAGTAGCAAGGAGGGCAACACCTAATGCAAACGAAGACAGGTGGAATACTGGGCACTACAATCTGGAAAGCGACGACTCTGGGAAGGCATGCGCCGCGACGGCCTCCGACACGGCCTGCAACAAGGTTGAAGCCAGAGAAAATCCGCCGGCCCCCTTGTGGGGCCACCAGGCTGTAGGCGCGGGTTCGCAGTTTCCTGTACCAGTCGTAGCTTGTAGTTTCCAGTGTTACAGTTCTGCTTCTTGCTGGTCACTGTAACTAGTTGATTGACCGCGCGAGGGGGGGGGAGGCCCAAACAAGATTTTTAGCGTCTCCTGGGCGCGTTGTCTGAATTGCTGGGGGGGCTCGAAATCGACACCCCTCACGCAGATCCGCGGGGTCAGGGTCAAAAAATACATGGGATTTGCCACATTTCTGAAATTCGGTGCCACCCCTTACGCAGATCCGCGGGGTCAGGGTCCAAAAACACAGGGGATTTGCCACATTTCTGAAATTCGGTGCCACCCCTCACGCAGATCCGCGGGGTCAGGGTCCAAAAACACAGGGATTTGCCACATTTCTGAAATTCGGTGCCACCCCTCACGCAGATCCGCGGGGTCAGGGTCCAAAAACACAAGGGATTTGCCACATTTCTGAAATTCGGTGCCACCCCTCACGCAGATCCGCGGGGTCAGGGTTCAAAAACACATGGGATTTGCCACAATTCTGAAATTCGGTGCCACCCCTCACGCAGATCCGCGGGGTCAGGGCCCAACAACACAAGGGATTTGCCACATTTCTGAAATTCGGTGCCACCCCTCACGCAGATCCGCGGGGTCAGGGTCCAAAAACACATGGGATTTGCCACATTTCTGCAATTCGGTGCCACCCCTCACGCAGATCCGCGGGGTCAGGGTCAAAAAACACATGGGATTTGCGACATTTCTGAAATTCGGTGCCACCCCTCACGCAGATCCGCGGGGTCAGGGTCCAAAAACACAAGGGATTTGCCACATTTCTGAAATTCGGCGCCACACCTTACGCAGATCCGCGGGGTCAGGGTCCAAAAACACAGGGGATTTGCCACATTTCTGAAATTCGGTGCCACCCTTCACGCACATCCATCGCAAGGCGTGGTAACCCAAACTGCGAGAACTCCCTCGGCCCTTTAATCGCAAGGTGTGGTAACCAAGCCCGTAAACCATACACGTCTACCAATCGCCAGGTGTGGTAACCCCTCTTGTGATCAGTTGGTTTTGCTGATTGCGAATCGGCTTCGCATGAAGTTTCGATACTGCTTCACGACAGCGCCAAGGCCTCATGACTTAGCTCTTCCATGGCCCATTCTCCGAGAGAGGGGGCCGGCGGCAGGGGGCGAAGCCCTTACGGATTATGACTACTACAGCGCTACGGACAAAAGTGAACAAAATAGATCTGACACACAAGATACTTCGTTTACCCACTTAGCGCTGTAGGCATCATCAGCACCATCATGTACAACATTACAGACGAGGTACTCCGTGTACTACGCTACTGGCAAGGTGCTACGTTTACGGGTTGTACCTCTCCTAAGGTTGAGTGGCCCCGCCTCACTACCCACCTCCCCTCCCCCTCCGAGGCCTCAGGTGGTATTCTTGAGTGTGGGCGGCCTTCCCCTTCTCCCTTCCCCCCTCCAGAAAGGGCCGTCTCCGTGTAGCCGTCGCGGCCCAGGGCGCGTGGCGGGAGCGGAGGCGCTTGGGTGACGCGTCAGCGATTGCCAGAGAGAGGCAGAGAGGAGGAGGAGGAGGAGGAGGAGGAGGAGGAGGAGGAGGAGGAGGAGGAGGAGGAGGAGGAGAGGTAATTCGGCGGAAAAAGAGGAGGAGGAGGAGGAGGAGGAGGAGGGAGAAGGAGGAGGAGGAGGAGGAGGAGGAGGAGCAAGAGAGAGGGAGGCCGTTGGACACACCTGCCCCCACCCCCCCCGAGCGCCTCCATGCCGAGGGCGGGGCCGCGGCGCCCACGGGCGCCTCCGACGCCATCGGGCACCTGCCCCCCGGACAAGCTTGCTCAAGCGAAAAAGGCTCAGACCGACCTCCAAAGAACCACGCTGCGAAAAAAGCACGACAGCGGAGGTCTGGGCCTAGAGCACGCACCACGAGGCCCAAGTGGCTTTATAAGGGCTGCAAGATGGAGCGAAAAGCTGGGGACACCCTGGGCCAGGAACACATTCCACAAAACTCAGGCACCACGATCTTTTCGCGGCGTGGCCCCCCAGATTGGGGATCCCAAAACCGTGTGGTGACAGACCGTGCAGTGACCCCGGCACCCCAAGAGAGACCTCACTGCACGGTCCTTCACCGCACGGTCTTGGGACCCTGGAGGCCCCAGTCGCCCGAGACATCCTTGGAGAAGGACCCAGTCCCAAAACCGTGCGGTGACCCCGAACCCCCACCGACTCACCACTCGGTGTGGTCACCACCCCGTTTGGGGGCCCCCGACCAGAGCCTGGGCCCCATCATGCCGGAGACCAGCTTCCCATCCCAGGCTGTTTTCGACGCCCCCGAAGCCCTGTGAGGGCCATGGAGGCCAGATGTGGCCAGAGACGCGCCCTCGTGCTCACCGCGCGAGGAGGCGAGGGTCAGCAGCCCCCCACGGGAGGCCCAGGGGAGCAGCCCCCGAGCGGAGGTCGGGGCGCGGAGACCCCCAGGCCTCCTGGACGTCTTGGGAGAACCGGCGCGGCAACCGCTGGCCGATCTTGGCCCCAGAGGGGCACCCGCCAAACCTCGGGATGCAGAGCTGGCCCCGAGGGCAGGGCCCAGGCCCGCGGGGGGAGGCACGCGGTGAAGAGGCGCGACGTCGAAGGCCGAGTGGGGAGGCGATGGGACTGGCAGGGCACCAGGCGGAGCCCCGGCAGGCTCAAGCGGGGCGGGGCGGGGCGGGGCGAGGGAGTCTTATTCAGCACAACGCGCTCAGGAGGAGGCAAAGAGGAGGAGGAGGAGGAGGAGGAGGAGGAGGAGGAGGAGGAGGAGGAGGAGGAGGAGGAGGAGTTTGAGGGGAGAGGAGGAGGAGGGAGGAGGAAGGGAGTGAGGGATGGATGAAGGAGGAGGAAGGCGAGAGGAGTGCGAAAGAGGAGATTGAAGATGGAGGAAGAGCGAAAGGGAGGGAGGGCAGAGAGCAACAGAGGAAGAGGAGAGAAGGAGTGCAGAGGAAGGAAGAAGGAGGAGTAAAGAAAAGGAGGAGGAGGAGGACTGAGAGGAATGAGAGAGAGGCAAGAGAGTAAGTAGGAGGGAAGATGGAGAAGGACCGAAGGGAAAGGAGAAGAAGAAGGGGCCCGGAGAAAAGAGGAGGTGAGGAGGGGGAAGGAGGAAAAGAGGAGGGAGGAGAAGGATGGAAGGAAGGAGGAGGAGGAGGAGGAGGAGAAGGGGGGGCCCGAACCCGCCGAAGAGGTCCAAACAAACCTCTCCCCCCTGCCCTGCGCCCCCCCCGCAAGGAGTGTAGTGAGGGGACGCCACGGAGGCGGGGCGAGGGAGGCAGGGGGGGGATGAGGGTAGGGGGTCCCAGAACGGTTCGGTCACGGAGCGTGCCGTGACCTCAGAGATCCCGAGAGACATCACCGCACGGTCCGTCATGCATAGTTGCCACATATTGCATTGTGGTACATTATTATGTCTCCCCCCCTACCCCCCCCTGGGAGCTGCGCCACAGGAACGGACCAAAGTGCCCCCCCCTCTCCCGGGGCTCAAAAATCTACCAAAACATATAGAAAATCTATGATTTCGACTTCTTGGGCCTCTTGGGGGGCCAAGAGGGCGCCAAG